CCCCCCTCCGGGGCTGACTTGTTTGCAATCCCAAAGCGCGCGCGCCCACCGGCAACTCGCGGCTCTCCGGGCCCCCTCCGCCGTCTGGCTGCGTCGCTCGACCGGCGGGGCGCGCCGTTGCCCTTTTAAGAGGAGCCGTGTCAGGCGCGTGACGTCAGGGGAGTGCAGAGACCTAGTCGTCGCCGCGGCTGTCTCTCTTGTGTTATTGCAGCCAGAAGCTGGGAAGAGCGCCGGATCTGCAAGGGAGGGAGCCAGGGGGGCCCTGCCGTTTCCATTGCCCTCTCCCCCCGGGGTGCCCCTGTAAGAAAGAGCGCTGCAGCCGCTCGTCCGTCGCCTGCCTTCCCTCCCGGCGCAGAGATCTCCCCCCCCCCCCCCCACTTTTTATATTTTACTTTCTCTTGATCTAGCAGGAACCACCGCCAGCAGCCGCGGCAGCAGCAGCAGCACCAGGAGGAGGAACTTTGCAGGCAGGAACCTAATGGCTGCGAAGGGGGAAATCTAAGAGCAAAGTCTTTTCCCAGCCTGCCCGGGGAGAAGGCTGGCCAGCGAGCCCAGGGGGAAGCCCGGCCACCATGAGAGCAGGGGCTGGGCGCTGATGCCTGCGTCCCTGGCCCCGGCGGGAGGATTACGAGTGTCTCCCTCCCCTGGGGCACCGCCAGCCGCGCGCGTGTGACGAGCAGCCCGGAGAAGCGGCGGCCGCAGCAGCAGTAGCGGAGAACTCCCCCCAGCAGGGCGCTGAACTTCCCTCGACCCGGGACTCTCCGGCCAGCTGAGCGCACCCTTGGCGTCTTGTATTCCCCTAGAAACGATCTGATTTGGGGGAGCGGGGCTGGGGGGCCAAGGCAGCGAGCGCCTCTCCGCGTTTCCGAAAGAAACTATTTCTGGCCAAGATCATGGCGGTGAAAGGGGCTGCCGCGAACACGGGGATCTTGTTAGTAACAGCCAACGTGGGATCCTTGTTCGATGATGTAAGTCGCGCGGCTCGGAAGCGGGACGGACGGGCGGG